TTTTTTTAAATATATATATATTTAAAAAAAAAAACAACTGTATTTATTTATTTATTTTAATTTGTCCAGAGAGAGAGAGAGAGGGGAAGTGAGAAAGCAAGCTGCCAGGTCCGGGACATGAACTGCAGTCATGTGGGAGTCCAGCGCCCCTAGCCATTATACCACCTGCCAGCCCTTGAGAGGTTTTCTTGCCTTAGGACATGTGAGCTCACAGAAGAGGCAGAGAGAAACAGAGAGAAAGATAAAGTGAGAAATCACACCCCAGGGGGATGGCCACGCCACAATCCCTTCTCCTCCATCTCTTCTCAGGATTTTGGGCATGCAGGCACACACGTCTGGCATGAGGTTCAAGCCACCGGTACCCCAAACAGGGCTATTAAAAATATATATATTTTTAACACTTAAAAAATTTATTTGATTTTATTTATGATTTTTTTTTTAATTTGCTACAGGACATGTATGCTCACCAGAGAGAGAGAAGGAAAGTGAGAAAGCAAGCTACCAGGTCTGGGACTTGAACCATGGTTGACCATATGGGAGTCCAGCAACATAACCACTACGCCATCTGCTGGTCCCACCCTGGTAATTTTTTTACAAAGAAAAACAAACGACGGGATGAATTACAAGGGGCACAAGAAAACTCTTGAGGCAATGGGCATGTTCATCATCTTGATTGTGAGGATGCAGACGTGTCAAAACGCAGCAAATTGCACATCTTAAACATACACAGTTTGCAGCTAGAAAAACATGCCAGGCACAAGCACACATGTGCTCCAGATCCCAAAAAGAAGGAGAATTGGAGGAGAAAATGCAGTGTGAGCACACCACATGGAGACTGCTTTCTTCATTTTCCTCGCTGTCACTCTCTGGCAAGTGCACACCACTGACAAGTTAAAACAACAACAAAACCCCACAAATATTGAGAGTGGGTACTGGGGTAGGGACTGCTATAGACACTGGATACACCATAGTGCACTAACATACGAAAATAAGTAGCAAGTAAGTGACTGCACGAGTGATGTGAATGCTACAAAAGAATTAAAAACAGGGCCAGCGGTGGCATGGTAATTGAAGCGGATGGATCCCATATGACCAACTGCATGGTTCAAGTCCCAGGCAGCTTGAAAAACACGGTGGGCATGTGTGTGTACATGCTCAAAATCCCGAGAGGAAAATGGAGAAGAAGGAATTGCAGTGTGGCCAGCTCTCCTGGGAGGTGGGGGGACAGGTGCTTTCTCACTTCTTTCTCTGTCTCCAGTGAGTGCACATGCCCCATAGCAAAAACAAGAAAGAAAGAAAGAGGGAGGGAGGGAGGGAAGGAAGAAGGAAGGAAGGAAAAAAGAAAGAAAAGGAAGAAAGAAAGAAAAATTAAAACAGGGTGTTGTCACTGAAAGTGGGTAAAAGAGGCCACTTTATTTGAAGTGGTCAGAGGAGACCTCCCTTGGCAGACATTACTGCACTAAGTCCTCACTAATTAGGAGGCAGCCTGTGAAAATCCGAGGGCAGTCAATCCTGGGAAAAACAGTGCGGAGGCTCCGACACAAGCAGGAGTCTGACATGTGAGAGAACGGAAAGTAGGCCAGGGCGCTGGAGCCCATGGAGCTGTGTGGGAGGGACGAGGTCACAGAGCAAGGCAGTGTCAAAAGCTCAGGGTCCCACAGGCCGTGGGAAAGGATGTCGTCAGTGGAGTGACAGAATCTCTTTGGCACCTACACGATTGCCTTTTTTTTTAGAAAGAGATTTTTGCTATAGGGCACATGCGCTCATTAGAGAGGCAGAGACTGAGAGATAGAAAGTGAGAAATCAGCCCCCTCACCCCCACCCGGAGGATAGGGCCATACCGCAATCCCTTCTCCATTTTCCTCTTGGGGTTTTGGGCACATATGCCTGGCATGAGCTGTAAGCTGCTGGGTCCAGGACTTGAACTGCAGTTGACTACATGTGAGTCTAGCAATGTAACCATTATGTAATCTGCTAGTCGCATGATTGCCATTTTTAAAAGATCACTGTGGCTGTGAGGATAGACTAAAAAAGTCAAGAATGAAAGAGAAGTTGGTTAAGAGGCTTTCTTCATCTGCCAGGCAAGAGATAATGGAGGGCTGCCCCATAACACAGTGATTAGGCACTGAGCAGAGGCAATGAAGTTCCCCAGTCAGCTTCATTCTGTGTGGCCAGGACCCTGACAGGATAGAGAATTGGAGAGAAAAGGATTGTGGTGTGACCAGCCCAGGCTGGGTGGTGCTCTCTCCCTCTCCCTCCTCTCATTCTCTCACACACAGATGTGGGGCACATCCTCGAACATTAAAAATAACTGAACTGGGGCCCAGCAGATGGTGTGGTGGTTAAGGTGCTGAACTGCCACATGGCCGACTGCAGTTCTAGTCCCAGACCTGGTGGCTTGCTTTCTCACTTTCTCTCTCTCTCCCTCTCTCTCTCTCTGATGAGTGTGCATACTCTATGGGGAAAAAATTAAAAATAATAATAAACAAATAAAACTAAATAAATACTTTTTTTTAATGATAATTTAAAAATTGGGGACCAGCAGATGGTGTAATGGCTATATCACTGGACTCCCATGTAGTCGACCGCAGTTTGAGTCCCGGACCCAGTGGCTTAAACTCACACCGGGTGCATGTGCATGCATGCCCAAGATCCCGAGAGGAGGATGGGTGAGAAGGGATTGCGGCGTGACCATTCCCCCAGGGGGTGATTTCTTGCTTTCTGTCTCTCTATCTCTCTCAGTCTTTCTTGTGAGCGCACATGCCCTATAGCAAAAACTTCTCCAAAAAAAAAAAAAAAAAATAATTTAAAAAGTGAACTGAGTCAACTCCGTGGTGCAGCAGCAATGCACTGCTCAAGAGCAGCCAGACCCCAGTGGTAACTGCAGTCCAAATGCCTAGCCCGGCCAGCCTGTAACACACCAGCAAGGCTCCTGAGTGCCTAGGATCCATTGGGATGGAGAACTGAAGGAGAGGATTGTGGCATGGGCAGATCCTGTGGAGGATGCTCCTCTCTTACTCTCCTATACGTGCACCCACACTATTATGAATAAAGAAAGAATAACTAGGGCTGGCAGGTGGTGTGGTGGTTAAGGATGCTGGATTCCCATTGGTCGACTATGGTTCGAGTCCTGGACCTGGTGACTTGCTTTCTCCCTCTCCCTCTCTCTCTCTCTTGCTCTGTCCCTCTCTGGTCAAATTAAAATAAATAACTAAAGTTAAATAAAATAATTCTTAAAAAAATTAAAAAGAACAAATGACTGAATAAAGAGACGAGGAAGCATGGACCAGGGTGAGAGAGGTGGAGAAAGAAATAGATACATGTGGGATATACCCAAAAGGCCGAGCCCACAAGAGCTGCTGATGGACTGGACTGAAGGGGGAGGGAGGGACAGAGAGGAGTCACAGACAAC